TGATATTTCGCAATAATACATAAAACAATGCAATTATCTCTACGGTGGAGTCAGAGCTTCAATCGATCTGATTAATTTCTCCGTTTCTTCGGTACGTGATACACGTTTTATATTGTGCAGCTAGAGACGTCTGCATCTTGAACAGATATTTTTGTGTGTGCTCACAAATAGCCAGATTTAATCAGCCAGGCGTTGCAACTGCAAGAACATTTTATATTTACAGTACGCAAGTGCAATAGATTTTGGTTGTGGCAGGAATGAAAGAGCACATGACTCTTATGATTGGTTAGGGTTCTGTTCGCGTGCGAGCACAAACATACACACACAGACACACACTTACGCACATAATCAATACGCGCATTGTAATTAACGACAGGACCGCATTTATTAGGCCACAATATAAATGACATCAGTCAGTCAATCAGTCAGTAACATGTCTTTGCAGAAACTTGCTCCCATAACAACCTTCCAGAGAACTTCTCGATCACAAGCAAGATACACCCATCTGGAGATCATTAGCCACATACAGCACCCATCTTCTCTTTGGCCTTCCTCTATCTCTCTTCTCCCTCCATTATTATTTTCTCTAAACTTTCCTGACTTTTCAAGTGACCAAAATATTTCAATTTTCTGTGTTTTATCGTCTTTAATAGCAAACCTTCTTCAATATTCATTTCTTGAAGTAGGAATGCATTTCTTCTTTTCTTTACCCTTTATATTCTTAGAACCCGTCTGTGACATTTGTGTTAAAAGACACAGATCCGCTGTTCAGCATGTTTAGTAAATGTCCAGGTCTCACAGGTGTATGTTGCAATTTGAAAGATGCATGCTCTTAGAACGGTTAGCGGGGTAGGGGTATCCCCTATCAAAGGAGAAGTAAGACGCCTCCTTTTCTCCGCTAGTCTACGGGACACCCTTGGGCAAGGTGGAGTACCCGTTTAGCCCCCCAATCAGGGTTACGTGAAGCCATGGAAGCAGGTGGTGGATGGAGTGTAAGAGCAGCCGACAGGTATTGTTGGTTATGGTCTGCACTCTGCGGCGATAGGCAGATGATCTCATCAGTAGAGACAATGGCTATGGCCACCGACTAGTATAGTCACTGCTCAGGAGGAAAGCAACGGCAAACTACCTTCTGCAAATTTAGCCAAGAACCCATAACAATCATGAAAGAAAACATAACACAGAAGAGATCTGGTGGCGAGACCCCCAGGCCAGGCAGATCAGATAACACTGGGGAAGAGTGTGATACAGGGGTCAGTACTAGTAATCGTGATGACGGAGTTAATCCTGACTGTGTTACCAAGGAAATCCACTGTGTCAGACTAAGAAACAGAATGCGAATAGGAACGTGGAATGTGAGAAGTCTGTATGAAGGAAAGCTTAAAGTAGTATGTGATGAGATTGAAAGATTAAATATTCAGATCTTAGGAATTTGTGAACATCGTTGGAGTGGCAAGGGACATTTTATCAATGAATATGGAAGCTTTTTTCGTATATTCTGGTAGAGATGTAAGAGGCCAGAGCGGAGTGGCATTTTGTTTAGATAAAACAACAGCAAAAGCTATTATGGGATATAATCCAGTTAGTGATAGAATCCTAACTATCAGACTTAAAGGCCGTCCAAAAAACACAACTTTCATGCAGGTATATGCACCAACTTCAACAGCAGAGGAGGGCGAAATTGAAGATTTTTATGCCATACTGCAAGACACATTAAATAAAATTAATCAGAATGATATAATAATAATAATGGGAGATTTTAATGCTAAAGTAGGTACAGGCAGAGCTGAAAATGAGAGACACGTTTTAGGAAAATTTGGATTGGGTAATAGAAATGAAACAGGAGAAAAATTGATTGAATTTTGCCTAGAAAATGAATTAACAATAGCTAACACACTTTATAAACAACACCCTAGAAGGCTTTTCACATGGACATCCCCTGACGGTGTTACCAAAAATCAGATAGATTACATTTTAATACAAAGAAGATGGAGATCGAACATAACATCTGCAAAAACCCTGCGAAGTGCAGATTGCGATACAGATCATCAGTTACTAGAAGCAGATCTGAAATTAAAACTCAAAAAGCTCACCCGAGGACCAAGGCCATTTCGATTTGATCTCACAAAAATACCAGATGCATACAACGTAGAAGTGAAGAACCGTTTTGAGGTCTTGATGTCTGTACAAGAGGAAATGACACCTGATGAACTGGCGGTACAAGCTAGGGATATCTTGATAACAGCAGCTAAAGACTTAATACCCACCAGGACTAAGCAACATAAACCATGGATCACACCATACACGTTAGAACTAATAAAACAACGAAGGGAACTGAAAAAGAAAGGAGAAACCAATGACAGTAGGATGAAGTATAAATTTTTAACACGAGAAATAAGAAAGTACACAAGAAAGGATAAAAATCAGTATGTACAAGATTGCTGTATTAAAATAGAGCAGCATCACAAAAATGGAAGAGATTACGAAATGTTCAAGGAAATGAAGTTATTGACAAGAAATTTTCAACCTCAGTTAAATGTTATTTGTGACAAGTTGGGAAATACTTTAACAGAATCTAGACAAATTCTAGGAAGATGGCAGGAATACTGCAGCGGAATGTATGATATGAATGACAGTGAGGATATGAATGATATACATGAACCAGTAACAGTAGAGGCAGAACCTGAACCTTCATTAGATGAAATTTCATGGGCAATAAGGAGCCTGAAAAATGGTAAATCACCTGGATGTGATGAGATACCAGCTGAATTGATCAAAGCGGGAGGAGAAGAAAGCATAAAAATCTATCATGCATTATGTGAAAAGATATGGAAATGTGGTATTTGGCCAAAAGACTGGAAGAGAACTATCTTCATTCCAATACCAAAAAAGGGTGACCTGAAATTATGTACAAACTATCGAACTATTGCCCTGATCAGTCATGCAAGTAAAATTCTACTAAAAATTATAATGAGAAGACTGCAAAAGAAAATGGAAGAAGAGATTAATGTAGCTCAGGCTGGATTTAGACAGGGAAGAGGAACAAGAGATCATATATTCAACATGCGTTTAATAATAGAGAAGTGTAGAGAATTTAATGTAAATCTGTTCTTATGTTTTGTGGATTATTCAAAAGCATTTGACTGTGTACAACATCAGAAGCTTTGGGAAATCATGAGGAATATGGGCTTTCCATCACATATAGTGCAGCTCATTAAAATGCTCTATCAAGATCAACAAGCAGCAGTCAGAATAGATGGAGAGACATCAGACTGGTTTGGCATCAAGCAAGGAGTCCGTCAGGGATGTGTGCTGTCACCGTATTTGTTCAACCTGTACGCCGAAAATATAATGAGAAATGTAAGAGATGATATAAACAAGGAACAATATGATGCCCTAAACATCGGTGGTCATGAAATACCAGAAATTCGTTATGCTGATGATACAGTATTACTATCAACATCACAAAATGGTTTAGAAAAACTTATTAACCTCACTCCAAAGAAATAGTGAAAATCATAACTTATTTCTTAACACAGCAAAAACAAAGATAATGCATACAAACAAAACTGCCATGGAGAAGGAAATATATGTTTAATGAGGAAAGATTGGAAGTGGTGGAAACTTTCGAATATCTTGGGTCACTGGTTACCAACAATGGTGACACAATGAAAGAAATTAAACGGCGACTATCAATTGCTCTTCAAAGACTAAAACAACTGAATAAATTATGGAATTGTACAGATAGAATTACAAAGGTCAGATTTTTAAGAGCATGCATCTTTCCCATTGCAACATACGCCTGTGAGACCTGGACACTTACTAAACAAGCGGAACAGCGCATAAATGCATTTGAATATAAATGTTACAGACAGGTTCTAAGAATATCTTGGGTAAAGAAAAGAACAAATGCATCCATACTTCAAGAGCTGAATATTGAAGAGGGTTGGCTAGTAAAGACAATAAAACAAAGAAAATTGAAATATTTTGGTCACTTGAAACGTCATGGAGGTCTAGAGAGAACAATAATGGAGGGGTATATGCCTGGGAAGAGAGGAAGAGGAAGGCCAAGGAGAAGATGGGTGCAGGATGTGGCAGATGATCTCCAGATGGGTGTATCAGACGCAGGACATCTTGCTCATGATAGGAAGGTTTTCCGGAGGGTTGTTATGGCAGCGAGGTTCCGCGAGGGACATGCTACTGAATGAATGAATGAATGCTCTTAGAAATCTTTTTTTTTTCTGACTGTCCCACTCCATAGTTTATTCAGCTGTCTTAGTATTTGAAGAGCAATTGATTGTCGTCGTTTAATTTTTTTTTCATATCGACACCAATGTTGGTAATCAATGACCCAAGATATTCAAAACTGTTGACAACCTCCAGTCTTTCCTCATTACCGTATATTTCTTTCTCCATATAAGTTTCGTCTGTATGCATTATCATAAACGACACGGAGATGATAAAATGGTAAGCAGTCTTTGAAAGAAACTTCTAGGTTCAGAGGGCGAGGCAAAAGGTACTTAGACGTTTACAGATCTAGCATATAGTGCAATATCGTTTACTTATCCAGCATATGGTGCAATATCGTTTACAGATCCAGCATATAGTGCAATATCGCTCAGAGATCCAGCATATAGAGCATTATCGTTCACAGATTCAGCATATATTGCACTATCGTTCATAAATCCAGCATATGGTACAATATCGTTTACAGATCTAGCATATAGTGCAATATCGTTTGCAGATCCAGCAAATGGTGCAATATCATTTACAGATCAAGCATATGGTGCAATATCGTTTACAGATCCAGCATTCAGTGCAATATCGTTCACGGATCCAGCATATAGTGCAATATCATTCACAGATCCAGCGTATAGTGCAATATCATTAACAGATCCAGCATATATTGCAACGTCGCAGTGTCTCATGTCGTGCGATTTCAACCAGTTTCATGTGCGTAGCTAAATATCAAAATATCTCAACAAGCCCATTTTCTGAATTTAAGGGGTTTGTGCTTGGTACTGTACAGTGAGCGCATCAGCTTTGCTGTTGCCCGCACCTTCATCCAGAGCAAGGGACTGCCCGTTGCTGACTTTTGTCAGTGTTATGGCGGGAATACCTGTAGCCTGTCGTGATCTGCAGCAGAACCTTTTGATTCGGTTTCTTGTTATACCACAGCAGGGACAACACAGAACGTTTACAAACTCCGTTCGGAAGTTATCGTTCAGCCATCCGTACAAGACTGGGTTGAAGCAGCCTGAACAAAGTACCAGCATATGGCAAATGGCGTATGCCAGCTTTATATCCATGCGACCAGTGAAGTATTCGCCTCTAAAATCGATCAATAAATTAAAAACGTTTAACGGAAGCCAGCTCAGGGCAAACACAAGAGCAATTCCTGCAAGGAGAAGGTTCGTTTTCCGTTTTCTCCGACTTCTGCGTTCATTCTTCTTACGTTGAAATGATGTTGAGGCAGTTGTGGGGCCATTTTGAGCAACCATGCGGTAACGGAGTTTGTTGCAGATGCGTAAATGTGCAACACTTAAAATGAAGAAGGGCAGCACATATTGAACGACCATCTGTGCTACGCTGTAAGCTCGTTTTTCAATCTCTAGACTGACATCTTCCATACACATGTACACATAGAGATTGGGAACTTCTTCAAGCCACAAACGGCGATGCACCACTGAGAACAGCAGAGCAGGACTGGCAATGAGAAACGAGATAATCCAAATAGAGAGTAGAGCGATGGCGGCACCGATTTTTTTCATGCTGTCTTTAGTGGGGTACACGATTACCTGTAGGCAAACAAGTTTGTGACATTAAGAATAAAAACACACACACACACACACACACACACACACACACACACACACACACACACACACACACACACAGACTGAAAAGTAACTTGCATGTTCAACTACTAACTAAACTTTACATAAATTCAGTTTGTGTTACGTTTCTTTATGCCATGATCTAAGCTACGTGTCCTCTAAAAAAGGTGTCTTCAATCTGGTTGGCAATCACACGGGACCTGAAGCTTTAACAATGAAAAACTAAAATGTGTCAGTTCTGGTGGCAGACAAACAGGGCAATCCGAGATACCCCGTTCAACCTCTAAGAAAGATATAATTAGGGAACACACGACGGCCACACCAGCCAGGTGTAACCAACAATCATGCGGGGAAAGGATGCTGATAACTAAGTTATTCTGAACACGACTTGTTAGGGTCCGTTCACCAAATAATGAACGATTTTAATTTATGTTTCTTTCCTAAATGTAGGCGTCTGTGGCGTAGGCGTTTGAACGCGCTACGTAATGCCGGGCGTTGGGTTCGATCCCAGCTGCGGACGATTTGTCTTGCGTTGGTTTCGACAGTGATACCGAGAGCTGACCGTTTAGTAAGCAATGGCAAACTACTGAAAGTAAAAACCCACAACAGCCAAGACATGTTGGAGTTGGTTCTGCAACGACCCGTAAAGGTTACACAACTAACTTTTAACTCTCCTAACTATGAACCACATACATTCATCTTATTCATTATTCAGTTCCAATATGTTCATTTATTGTGGATGTGTTGCAAGTTGAGTTTCCACACTAATTCTTTCTTCTGTAAAATACACGCCCTTGGCAATGCACTATATTAGAATGTCAATTTTCTAACTGTAGATGTCTGAGATTTCTTTTGCCTACTCCTTCGCCGCCTGCTTTCAGTCTGTTCCCAGAACAGACATTTTTGACAGATTAATTAAGGCAAGGCTGTAGCAAAATTAGACACGCTTTCAACGTTTTTTCTATTGACAAGATTGTCGAATAGGCTATACTTGAAACATACACTCAATGTACAATATACACATTTT